GCCATGCGGATCGTCGCCAGGTCGATGATGACCCAGAAGCCTGTGGGAGTTGAGCTCGTAGACTCGCTTATGCACTTGTTCTCGTTTCATCTTGATCGGCTTCGTCGGCCTCTTCACGTTCACCACCGAAGACCACGCATTCCATACATGCTGGATGCTTGCCCCTGTTGCGGTGACCAACTCCTGCACCGTGCTGAGGTTGCGAGCCAGCCGAAGTGATGACGCCACGAACGGGAACTTGGTGCATCGTGAATTCCCCAAGACACGCTTCGCCTTTGCATGTGGCCCCTCGGCGATGTGGTCGTCGAACGGGATGTCGACGAGCTGCTGCACCGCTTGACGGAGCCCGTCAGGTAGTTCCCCGCCGGCCTCAGGCAGTTGCACAATCGAGCTCTTGAAGGGCGAGTCGTCGCCCAAAAACCTCAAGGTCACTGGGTGGTGCTGATCTTTGGGGACTTCTCGGCATTGCGCTAAGACTCTGCCAACTATCCCAGGCTCGCCCAACCTCGAAAGCAGGTACGGGATGTGATCCAAGAATTGCAGCTTCCTCATGCCCAATGATCTGCAGTACTGCACAGCACCGATGCAGGACGACTGCAAAGAGGCATCCTCGCCGAAATCATGCAATGACCAGCTGCAGATCTCCGTGACGGCGTCATTGAATACTGTATTCGCGTGGTCCCATGCATATGTTATCAAACGGCCCTTCATCATGCAAGAAACTGTCCGTCCATTCCTGTACTCCTGCTGGTGGCACGCGCATGAGCCCCCCCACGACTGCAAAGATGAAAGCCAGTCGGCGTGCCACTCTACGAACTTGAAATGTACTGCCCAACGATGGCTGAGAAGGGATGCTCTCACCTTCTTCAGCAATGCCGCATCCCTGATCTTCGCAACGAAATCAAATGAAGACCACAGCCGACGGCATATGTCGAGCAGCACTGACATCGCCTTGCATGCCTTGTGCAACGTGCCCCATCGCCACTCTGCAAAGTATGGTATCGATATCTTGGCAACCAGCTGAGCTACCGAGGGATGCGTTTGCCGAATAGCCTTCACCACATCATCCGAATAGTACCGCAAGAACTGCAAACACGCCTTCAAGCCACCTAACCACGTCGGGAACCAAGGTAAACTGCATAGCGAACGCTTGATAACTGTATCAATGATGTGCATCCACCCAGGAGCCACGAGTGCGACAGGGAACAATTGCCTATGACGTCGAACCCGTGGCGGAACACGTATACCGACAAGACCGCAGAAATCTATCAGAACATCTGGCGTTGTGCACAATAGCCTTTCTGTCCCGAAGTCCGACGTGATAGACGCAACCTTGGCCAGAAAACTCCGAAGCGAAGTGTAGCTTGGCCCGACGATCAGCATGATCTTCCAAAGAATCGCGTACGTCTTGCCGATCAGGTCGAGCTGGCGGTTCCCGATGCGGACTACAGGGAGTAGCATCCTCAGGCATGTCCACCTCTGGCTGTCACACGTGATGAGGTCCATAGTGCTAGCCATCATCTCCACGCCTCGCCACTGCGGGCTGCCATCCGTGAACAAGTATATGCTGGAGCTTTCCAGCTCTTTGGCAAGATACAATCTGAACAATGCCATGTGCACAATATCCAGCCGAATCCGTGCAAGCCGAAGTACAGTCCGAGATATATCATGAGATTCGCTCACCATGCGCTGCGCTTCATCATGGTCATACTGAGCCAACACCTTCGCCCATGCAAACTTGGCCTGCTTCACGACATGCATACTCTTGAGGTGCTGCGTTGCGTCCAGGAATGCAATGATGGCAATCGCTGGGAGCCCAGCGAACATGGTAGAGCCTTTCGGCCTTGCTGGTACACAGAACTGAGAAGCGTTGGCAACCACACACTCTGGCTTATCGGCATCGAAACAACTCCTGAAATATTTTGCTGTCTTTGCAGATGGGCCCGATGACAGAGGATGCTTTGACCACCTTATGTTTGGCTTGAATGGAACAACTTTCAGCACCGTCCATGTGTCATTGATGTGCTTAGCATATTCTTCTGACGTCATAACTGAATATATAGGCACTTCACTCGCAGCTTTACCAACTTCGCCTGCCCATAGACGAACCATCTCCTTACATGTGATGTCGTGTTGTCTGTCATGCATACCAACCATGTCTTCGCACCGAGCGTGTTTGATGGCTCCCCACACGTCGACGTGTCCGATTGCAAGATGTTCTGGAAATCTCAGTTCTGACACTTGAGTTAGATGATATACCACGGCACCCGATACTGAGTCGATACTATCTCCAAAGGTGCGTGTCAACAAGAATTGGGCTTGGTTGCGGTTCGGAATGGCATCTTGTTTATGAATTTCCCAGTGTCCGAATCCGATGCTGTAGACGACGCGCTCATCAAACACTTGAGGTTCCTCTGAAACTGAAAATCCTTGGCACGAACTCGCACTGCATATAATCCATACACACACGCCGCCAAAATTGTCGATCACATTGATCTTCCTGCCCCTCTTGCGACCGCGCCGCACTGGAGCGTCTGGCGCCTCCTCATCCCCATGTATTTCTAGATCATTGGCGGGACTCGGAGGCGGACTGTCATGGTCGATCCCCGCCATGCGGGGGAGTGAAACTTCACTGGGCCAAAATGGCTGCACAATGCTTCGCACATGGGGATGCGATGCGATGCAATGCAATGCAAACCTCACTGCGCCTTGCAATGCAAGTCAACACGAAGGCTAACTATGCAATGCAATGGAAAGTGGCACGGGACAGCATGAAGCAATGCGAACGCAATGCAAGGCCCCCCAGAAGCTTGATGCAACGCAAAGCAAGACAATCCCACTGGAGTAAGCAACTACCCGAACCGCAGAGAGCCCAACTGTGTTTGTGAATGTTCACCCAGCAAGCTGTCTGACGATCGATCCGCCGACCCTTTGGGGCCATTGCGATTGTGAGACATCTATCTTCTAGTTCGTGAGGCGCACGCAACCCGACCCCCTATAGGCGGTTAGCGGTCCCTGTTTGATTCACCCCCCCGTCGCCGTCCGCCCGCGCCTCTTCAGCTGTCAACCAAGAACAGCTGAAACGACACATCGTTTGTGTTCTAAGGGTGCCATCTGTCCATCCCCCGACTAATATACATTTACCCTACCTAACGTAATTCATGTAAACTCACCCCTAAGGTTTGACGAACACTGGGTTTACTAGAACCTCGGCCCAAACCCGCGTTCAACATTCCCCTCTGCCCTACCCCCCCGCGTAAAAGACCAAGCAGCACGCGAACCACGCAATGAATGCATGCTCATTACTTGCGACACTTTGATTGGGCAGCGTCGTGCATTTCGGGGGGGGGGCGTGCCATGTGTTGTTACAACATGCGATGTATGATGGCTCTTTCGTTATTCGCTACTGGAGTTTGTAGTTGTAGGGCTCATGATGAAATTTCATGGCCCCGACGAGTAGGTTTGGGGTTGGATGTTGCATCCGTGCTTTCGGCTTGGGGAATTGAGTTGCCTTTTCGTGTAAGCTTGTTCACTCCCTACGCCCTTACCAGCGGAGAGGGACGGGGGAGCAAGGGCGCCTAACTTCGCGCTGCGCGGAGCGCGAATAGCTTCGCGCCCTCGCGCCGCCCCCCCAGGGGAGAAAAGGATGAGGATGAATCGGAGCCGAAGCGCGAAGCGCGAATCACCTGGCGCCCCCACGCTGCGCCACAGGGGGAAAGCAGAGGACGAGGAGGGATCCGAGCCGGAGCGCGAGGCGCGAGGCGCGAGTCACCTCGCGCCCTCGAGGGCGCCCTGGGGGGAGCAGCAGTGGGGGCAGAAGTTGGGGGGTTCCTCCTCCTCCTCCTCCTCCTCCTCCTCCTCCTCCTCCTCCTCCTCCTCCTCCTCCTCCTCCCCCTCCTCCTCCTCCTCCTCCCCTCCTCCTCCTCTCCTCTCCTCCTCCTCCTCCTCCTTTCCCTCCTCCTCCCTCCTCCTCCTCCTCCTCCTCCTCCTCCTCCTCCTCCTGGGGGAGTGGCGCAAAAGGCAGCCCTGTGGCCCGCGGGGCGGCGGCCGGATGAGCAGCGGGGGCGGGCCGGCAGGCGCGCCCGGCCAAGGGTGGGCCCCTCTCGCGCCGGACCTTCCGTCGGGCCTGTCCCCCTACAGGGGGATGTTCGACGAAAAATGCAGAATACCCCAGAGAGAATCCAAGAAAATCCAAAAATGGTCTGGGAGCTATTTTTGAGTATGTTTTGACCCTTTTGGATTATTTTGGGGGGTACCTTTTATTTCGTCGAGAATCCCCCTGTAGGGGGACAGGCCCGACTCAAGCCTGACCCTGCCGAGGTCCCCCCGAACCTTCCAGGCTGCTTCAAAAATAGCACCCCAGGCCGAGAGGCCGATCTGGGCTGCCCCAAACCTCCACAGGAAAATCAGGGCGTCGGCGTCCTTGTTTTGGGGGAGAGGCGGAGGGAGAGGCGAAAGAGAGACCGCACCAACGCGCGACTACCACGGGGAGCTGGCAGAATACCATGCCCCAGGACCGTCATCGCCCTGACTCCCACTCGCACGGATGCCGCAAGCTTCGAAAGCAAGTGTCGCGAATTTCGCTGCTGTGATGTGTGTCGACGGCGACGTCGATGTCCTGGTGCTATTTGTTAGCCCGCCTGGAAGGTCAGGGTCGCCAGCCCCTCAATCAGGGAGCGCAGGGGAGATGCCAAACGGTGCATGCGGCGACCGGGCCAGGCGAATCAGCGGGACGACGGCGGCCTTCTTGCCGGGCCAGGGCCTGCTGCTGCAGTTCCGGACCCGGCACGGCGGTGGAACGACTGCGGGCGAACAAGCTTTCTCAGAGCCTATTTGTTGCGGGATGGCCCAAAGGGAAAAAGCTGGCTACCCCCTGTCTTGCTGATCCATCCCGATGCCCTCGAATACCCAGCAAGGCGAAGCCTGTCAGCACACCTCGATCCAAGAAGCAGGTGGTGTGCGTCTGACAGCGTCCTCAAAGCAACGCAGAGAAGCTGCGCCTCCATGACGCACGCCTGGTCAACAGGGCTCATCTTTTTCGGCACCTGTCACCCACAGGCGATCGAGGACCAGAAGGGCAAGGGCGAGAGAGAGAAGGAGAAGAATGACTTCTGCTGCACATCGGCACGTGCGCGCATGTCTTGCACATCTGCTCATTCCCTCTCATACGCCTTCTTTCGACCCTGGACCTGCCCTGCGACAGTCTGTGCGGCGGCGTTGTTCCGGTGCGCACGCTTATATGGAAGGATTGCGGCATGCTGTGCTGCAACATGCAAGTGAAGTTGCATCACACGAGCACGCCACCACCTTGTTGTACAATGTCGTGCGACGGTAACATACTGTACCGATCACTGCCCCAATATCGTTCCACATCAGCTCTGTGTAGCCGTTGAGCTCGGCGTAGCTGTTGAACACATGTAAAATACGAAAGCAGTGAGTATGTGCTATGTACATATGTGTGCTAGTGGCTGGAAGCGGCCCTTCAAAATTCTGGGGAGCTTGGCCAACAATTTCCGCTGGCCCCCTTGCAGGGCCATCAGGCTCCGCGGATTAGGCTTGCTGCTCCCTGCTCCAGTTCCAGTTTCAAGTCTCCGATGTTACACTTATGTGTTCTGCTTCCTACTGTGAAATGTTGCAGGGCCCTGGTTGCCTTCACATGGGTGGTTCTCAGAATTTCTGGGAAGCCCTGGGACATCTAAAAATACATACGACCCGCACCCCCGAGGCCGTAACACCTTGAAAATTACTCCATATCCGCGCTCCCGAGGCCATACCTCTTCCAAAATTCTTCAATACTCGCGCCCCGAAGCCGTAATCCCTGGTAAATTACTCCATATGAGCGCTCCCGAGGCCAAACTTCCTTCAAAATTGTTCCACATTCGCGTCCCCGAGGCCAGCGACCCTCGCAAGTTGCACTGCGTTCGCGCTCCCGAGACCATATAATCCTTCGAAAATTGAGCAAGATGCGCGTCTCCAAAGCCATGCCTCTCGTGAATTGGCAACTTGCACCTGGATATCTGAAGGGCCCCCCGTTCGGACTTCCGACACTGCTTCACAACAGCAACCAGGCCTAGCTCTTGCATGCCCCAGTCTTCGAGAGAGGGGGCCGGCGGCAGGGGGCGAAGCCCCTACGGATCGTATACCCAACGGATTGGCATGCCCAAGGCCCCCAAGCCACGAAAACACAGCAGCCAAACAAAAAGCAAGCCGTGCAGCTTCTTAAATTTTCGCAGGTCTCCAAAGCTTCTTCCCCCGAGACCGAAACCAGGCATGGTGGCGGGATGCGCCGCGAACCACTAGCCACTCTTTGTTTGCGGCCCCCTTCCCGCCATTTTCTGTCTCGTCTACATATCACATGGCCTTGTCCGCGTAATGTGCGGGATGGGCCGCAAACTACTAGATCATCTTTTGTTCCAGCCCTCCGCCCGGCCTATTCTAGCTCGTCTATACATATATATCTATATATATATATATATATATATATAGATGGGTGAGTGCAAATGTATCAGTATGTTTGTATGTGTCAGTGTATATGTACACATATCGGATGTGGCTTCTTCTGCGTAATGTGTCCTCTCTCTCTGCCTGCCCCTCTCTTTCTGCCCCTCTGTGCAGCCGCTCGGTGCGCCAGTCACACCACGAGGCCATCCCGGGCACCATCTTCATCGCGTAGAACCTCCTCCCCTGCCCCGGGGCGAGCGTGCTAAGCACGACCTCTTTGCTCATCCTCCTTCCCCTCCGTCTCTCTTCTCTTCCTCGTCCTCCTCCTCCTCCTCCTCCTCCTCCTCCTCCTCCCCCTCCTACTCCTCCTGAAGATCCTACTCCCCCTGTGTGCTCAATCCCCTCCTCTCCGTCGTCATCATATCGTCCTGATCATCACGGTCATCACGGTCATCACGATCAGCATCATCATCATCATCATCAGCATCATCATCATCATCATCATCATCATCATCCTCATCATCCTCATCATCATCAACAACATCCACGTCATCATCATCGTCGTCGCCGTCATCTTCATCATCTGCTTCATCATCAGCAGCATCATCATACACATCATCATCATCACAATCAGTATCGTCGTCGCCGTGGCCATCATGTCATTATCGCCATCATCATCGCCATCGTCATCGTCATCGTCACCGTCATCATCGTAAGCAACAGCATCACCTCCCTCCTCGCCCGCCGCCACCTCACCTCATCTCCCTCCTACTTCTACAACTCCTGATCCTAGATCCACCTTTCCTCTCCACTGACCACGTCGCATGGCTACCACTCCCGCGCATGGCTACCCTAAAACAAGACACCTCAAGCACGTGGTCTGTTGCCTGCGCCCTGCACTCGCGCAGCCGTTCCGAGAAAACAATGCTGCCCCTCGGCGCCTGCCTCGCTGCCAAGAGAACTCTCCACGACCTGCTTGGTACGAGCCGCCGGCCCCCAGAAGTCTCGACCCCTTCCCAGCAACCCGCCTTTCGTCCTGAGTTTCTTTTTTGCACGGGGCCCACGAACGACCTCCAGAGGGCGGAACAGGTGGCGCAAGACTCGCGCGCGAGACCTTCAGGTTGCCAGAGGTCGGGGTCCTGCCCCTCCTACAGTTCCTCGTCACGGGTGAAAGTCTTCCCTCTCCCCTGACTGGAGGACGCCCACATGGGGCTGGGCTGAAGCAGATGTGGTCGGAAGTTTGCTCCGCATCGCCGATGCATCGGCGCCGTCTTGGTAGAGAAAAGCGGATTCCGCATCGCGCCGCATGCGCCGATGTATCGGTGACGTGATCAGCGATTCACCAGCGATGAGGCGACCCAAATGGGCAGCCTAAACTGTCCACGTCATACTGATCGTTGCCGTTGCCTCCCTCACGTCCTCCCCCTCATTCCTACTCCTCCTTCCCCCCTCTCCTCTTCCTCGTCTCCTTTTCGTTCTCATCTCATTATCACCATCCTCCTCGTAGTCGTCCGCGTGGCCACCCGCATACAAATACTGAAGCTACCGCTGATGCGCATACTCAGGTCCATAATCAAAATCCTTTTGCTCCCTCCCTCGAAATCCTCTTTCTCCATCTCCCGCTTCCCACGCGTCCCACCATTTACCTTCGCCTGTCTCCTCCCTCTCCTCTTCATGAACAGCAAGAGGCGGGACACCCCCGTCGCGCATGCACCACAAATTATTGGCGAGTTCCTGTGGGCTGTGATCAGGGAAGGGGGGAGGCGGGCAGGGAGCGGGGAGGAGCGTGAAGGACGAGGGAGGGTTTCATCTGCATTGGCGTTCGGGATGCTCCATTTTCTTATGTTTCTTCTCTTGAATGTCCTTTTCTCCTCACCATCATCATCCTCATCAACATCATCAGCATCATCGTCATCAACGTCGTCATCCACCTCCTCCTCCTCCTCATCATCATCACCATCATCATCATTATCAACATCATCATCAGCGTCAGCATCATCAACATCATCATACGTCACCCTTGCCATCGTCATCATCAGCACCATCGTTCGCACCATCACCATCTCTCCTCCTTATCCTCCTCGTCCTCCTTCTCCTGACCTCTTCCCCTGCTTCTGCCTCCGCCTGCAGATCTCAGATCCCTCTCCTGCATCGCCCCCAGATCCTATCCTCTTTCTTGTTCTCCCCTCCTGTTCCTCCACTTCCGTATCCTCCTTCTCCTCCTCCTGGTCATCCGCCTCTGATTGGGCGAGATACTCTCGTCTCAGCTCGCACGAGCAGCTGAATCCACCATACGTTATCGATACAGTCTGTGATTCCAATTGTTACGCGGACCAGCGATTAGCAACGCTTCACCCGACTCACTCGGTGCAACCTTGCGGAAGACGCACGAACCTACATGACAGATGCGGTACAACAAATGTCTGTAACAGCAGGTTTCCGCATCCGACGTACCGAAATGTCCATATGACCATCTGTAAATCCCAACAAGTGAATCGAATGTAGACAATCGGTGGGACCCAAATAATACCGAGTGAGCATCTGCGCAGCAAGCTGTGACAGCGTGCCTTCCGAAAGCGTTGAGCTACGCTTTCGCACGAACCCTGGGCACTGGCCTGGCTCTGCATGCTGAACTGAGTCCGCCGCGACGCTGATCATCCGTTCTCACCTAATACCTCTCCACGTGTACATACACACATACATACATACATACATACATACATACATACAGACAGACAGACAGACAGACAGACAGACAGACAGACAGACAGACAGACAGACATACATATTCCTCTTCCTATATGTTTACAAGCCCGGGCGGGGGGAAAACCCGTCCCCCCCCCAAACCGGACTCCCGGGATCTGGGGCTTTGGGACCCTCCGGACGGGCCTCGAAGCGGCCACCGGGCCTCGCAGGGCGTTTTGCCAAGCCTTCCCATCACACCTAGGGCGATCAGGGGGGTCATCGGAGACGTCCCAGAGACCTCCAAGACAACACAAGAACGCTCCAAGAGTGACCGACGTGACCTCAAGATGGCCCAAGAGGCCTCGGGGACGGCCCCAAAGAGGCCTCCAAGAGCACTCCCAAGAAGGCTCCTCGAGGCAAAAATCATTGATTTTCTTTGGGTTGTTGGTGAATTTGGGGGTTCTCCTCTTTTCGGCTTCCCGACGCTCCAAGACGGCGGTCTTCTGGGCGTCCGAAGCCGCCTGGGAGGCTCCAAAATCGCCCCACAACCATCCGAAAGGGCTCCCAGGCAGTCCAAGAGAGCCCCAAAACGGCACAACACGGGTCCAAGATGGCCCTCAGAGAGCCCCATGGCGGCCCAAGATGGCCCAAAGACACCCTCCGAAGAATTCCAAAGCGTGATTCGGTCGTTCGGGGAGACCGCGGCTGGAGGCAGGGTGGCCCGAGGAAGCCCCTGGAGGCCCCCAGAATACGCCCAGGAGGCCTTCAGAAGGCCTTAAGAAAACCTGAAACAATTTTTTGTGAGGCCCCTAGAGGCTCTCCAAGGAGGAGCCTCCGCCAAAAAGAGCTGAGGAGGATGAGGAGAATGCGCAGGGTATGGCGAAAATAAAAAAGAAAGTTGGAGAAAGGATAACAAATAACATTATTATAGCGGCGATGCCGGAAAAGGCAACCAGGAGTGATCGCTAAATTGTCGGCTTGATTTCTGCTATTCAGCCTGCATGCCAAACTTCAAGGACCAATGTGCATGGCGCGAAGCGCCACTGCAGTCTTGTATATCTGTATCGATATATATATATATATGTGTGTATACGGCACACCTGGCATCTGCCGATCTGCATTTCAATTCGCCCCGGAAGGTCCCGACCGCTTCGCTTCTCCAGGCATGCCGTCCCAGATATAGATTCTCTTGCACACTGAGTCCAGAGCTCCAATTGTGTTTGTGTCGCGCCGCACGCCTCCCCCACGCCCCCTCCCCCCAGCGCCCCTCTCCGACCCCCCCCCCAGCGCCCCTCAACGTTCCCCAGCTGCCCACTGCCATTTCCGTCCAGAACCCCCTTCTGTCCCGACCTTTTCATTTTCGCACCGCACCGCCCCCCACCCCTCTCCCCTCCCCACCGTGCTCCCCAGCAGCCCAGCGTTCCCCCGCAGCCCAGTGCCCTACCCACCCAATGTCCCCATCTGCCCGGACCGTTACACTTTCGCCCCGCACCACCCCGCCCCATTACCCCGCCTGCGCCCCTCGTCCTCCTCGTCCTCGTCCTCGTCTTCCTCCCTCTCCTCCTCCTCCCCGTCCTTCTCCTCCTCCTCCTCCTCCTCGTCCTCGTCCTCGTCCTCGTCCTCGTCCTCGTCCTCCTCCTCATCCTCCTAATCCTCCTCTTCCTCCTCCTCCTTTTTTGATCGTCGCGCATTTAGCATTTAGCCCTTGGGAGGGTGTCCAGACCTCTGGGGGGTCACGTCGCCAAACGGGTTGGCGAGGGAGCCCCCTTCTCGGCTCCCCGAGCCCTCCCCAAAAGCAACCCAGCGTTCCCCAGCAGCCCAATGCCCGCCCCGCCCGATGCCCCCTCCGCCGTGACCCCCGACCCAACCCACCTTTTGCCTCTTTTCTCCTCCTCTTCTTCCCTGTCCTTCATCTACCTGGGACAGCCAGGGCATGCGTGCCACTTGATTTTCCCCGGATAGCGTTTCGCTCGAGAGTCCTAGCGGTGGTGCAACAGGATCACAGAAGAGTCCCACACGGGTGGCAGGGAGCCCTATATCGCCCCCTTTGGCAGCCATTTCGCTTGAGACTCCCTCACAACTGACTCAAGAATCCTGCTCCGGCCTCGATGACAATGTTTGCTCTGGGCGGGCCAGTCTGGCGGCTATGTTGCCGCCGTCGACGCCCCGTCGCTGCCTCCTCGCCAGCCGTAGTCTTGGTTTGAACGACATATTTTGCACTACACATACTGCACCACATCAACTGCACCACATGGATTGCGCACCACACAGACTGAGCCACATAGATTGCATCACAGATATTGCACCACGTATATTGCACCACAGACATAGTACCACGTAGGTTGCAGCACATAGATTGTGCACCACCTAGACTGCGCGACACAGATTGCACAACCTTGAATTTGCACCACGTCAATTGCACCACGTCAATTGCATCATTTAGATTGCAGAACATAGATTGCACCATCTTGCACCACACGTATTGCTCGACTTCGATTACACGACATCTATTGCTTGAGTCGCAAAGCTTGGGGTCCACGCTGGCTACCAAGTAGTATATGTGTAGACTGATTCAATTTAGACATATATATATATACATAATAATATTACATGCTCACGTGGCCGTGCCTTACCCCCCTCCCCAATATCCGACCTCCTACTCTTCCCACCGCCTCTTCACCCTCTGGTGCTTCCAACTCCTCCAACCACCTCCACTTCCTCCTGCTGCTACTCGGGTGCCTTGCTCGGGTGATTGACGGACCTGGGTCCTGAAAGCGGCCCGCGAGGGCCGACATTGAGGATGAGCCGCCAGTTGAAAAACAAATGCCGACGGAGAGTAGAGAACGGCGCCAGAAACACTCGTGCTCTCCTTCAAACCAGCTGTTCACCTGACCCCAGCCACGGCCCGCCCAGTTTTGCTGTCCGAGCAGCGCAGCACGTCGCAGAAGGAACCGGTGCCGAGAAGGTCGTCGCTGCTGAAGTCCGAAAGGTTGACGGAGCCGCCGCTGCCATCGGTGGGCATCGCGTCTCCGCAGCCCGCTACGGGGGAGAAGGTGAGCGCAGTGGGCGAGGAAGGGAACGGAGGTCCGAGAGAAGATGGAGACAACGGCAACGACGACAAGAAGCAGGAGCAAAACGGACAGTGGCACCCGTGCAACGAAACCGGCTCCCTGACCGCAGCCACACCCTTGTGAAACATACAGTCACCGTGCTACCGAAAAGAACGCTGACTATGGAGCGGGAGATGTTTTCTGGTCACGAAGAAGCCCCCCAACCTAAGCCTACGGAGCAGCCGGAAAACCAGAGCCCCGACTGAGCCCACCTGGTCCTTCACGCAGCACCTTTGGCGTACGCTGGGCACGACATTGGGCAGCCACCACCTGGTAATTCGGTGAGGGCACTCAAGAAGGAACCACTGGATCAGGAATCCAAAGTCTGGAAGACGGTGGAACTCCAATCGTGGATTGGTCATGGATTTTGAACGCATGAAAACCGCCCCCCGCCCCCCACATGAGGAACTTTAGATCAACTAGACCGCGCGCGCGGCCCCCCCCCCCCCTGCGGCAGCTGGCACTGGCCTCGCTTACAGGGCGCCTACACCTACACGCAGACTCGTTATACTTCCATAGCGCTGACGTATAACATGCATTGTTGTGGGGGCTGGGGTCGGTTTCCCACTGTTCAGGTTTAACCGCCGCCCTCGTCAGATAATTAAGCAGGGACCGACGGTCCCGGCATCTCTATAGTCCTACCACGAAGTGTTCTTAGAACCCAAACATGTTCTAATAGCAAAAACAATGTTCTTAGAACATAAGCCCGATGTGATAAAAGAAGACAGACTCCGCCTGAAATGTTCTGAGAACATTTCGTGGATACCACAAAAGTTTCTCAGAACATTGTTTGGTAGGGCTATAGGCGAGCCAGGACGCTTCGCCGCCGCTTGAGATAAGGAGTCCTCCGGGGCACAGTTCTCAACCGAAGCCCCCGCCGCAAGACCGACCGCCTCGGGCTGCCAGGCCGACCTCTGGCGGCGCACGCACTCGGCGGGCGGCGGCTCGCCAAGAGGCAGGGACAGGAAGCCAGAGGCACTCTTTTGCCTGCGCGGAGGAGCCCTGTGGCAAAGAGGGGGCACCGACGACGAGGGGACGGCGCGACAGAGAGAGCGGGGAGGGGGAGGGAAGGGAAGGGAGGGGAGGGAAGGGAAGGGAGGGAGAGGAAGCCGGAGGCACAGAGAGGAGCGGAGGGCACACGACAGGAGAGCCAGCAGCAGAACGGCGAGAAGAAGAAGAAGAAGAGAAAGAAGACGAAGAGGGGCAGAAAGGGGAGGCCGCGGAGCGCACGGGGAGGAGAGGCGGCAACCACGCGAACGACGGGGGCAGGGGCTGCGCGAGGCGCGGCAGCAAAGAGGGCACAGGCAGCAAGAATCAGGTCGGGCATGCCCTCTGACAGGCTGACGTTGGACGAAGAATCAAGATTAGTCGAAAACATCTCCGGAAACATGCTTGCAACAAAATATTCTGAAAATCGTCCCCATCATATTTTTCGACAACTGTTGAATGAGGACGAAGAGGAGGAGGAGGAGGAGGAGGAGGAGGAGGAGGAGGAGGAAGAGGAGCAGGAGGAAGACGAGGAGAAGGGAGGAGGAGGAGGAGGAGGAGGAGGAGGAGGAGGAGGAGGAGGACTCCTCCTGTAGAGGGACATGCTCGACTCAAAACAAAAGCCGCGAGGCAGAGACTGGGCCTTGGCGCGCCGGCTGCTCGGGCCAGCGCGGCAGGTCCTCGCGGAAGGATGCCCCGAAATCGCTCCGAAGTCACCAGAGCAGCGTCGGTGGGGATACCAACCATTTGGACGCCCGAAATGAGTACGGAAAGAATGGGTACAATGCCCAACAACAAATGTTGTCCCAAACCAACAGCGGCCGCTGTTGGGCGAGCGGCCTTCTGTCTCAAATGGACACAGGCCGTGGCGGCGCGGACAGCGAGTCCTGTCCAAAATGAACAGGAACTGCTGTTGGGCATCGTACCCATTCTTTCCGTACCCATTTCGTAGCAAAGAGTGCCCATACCGCTAGTCCCCAGGCCTCTCTTGGGATGCGTGCTGACCAGAGCCCCGAGACGAACCCGGCGGAGGCGACGAGGGCCTCCCATGGGAGGCCCCCACAAAGGGGGGGAAGGCGGGCGAGGGGCAGAGAGGTAGGGGTACCTTTTTTTTCCTTCCCTGGATCGGTAGCATCTCCCGTCTCTCTCTGTCCGTCGTCTTCGGCTATGACTGGGCTCGTGCCTGCGGCCGGGCCCGGGGGTCCTTGGCAGCTGCTGGCGCCGGGGCCACGGCGTAAAACAGGGCTAGGATCGGGATAAATCGCTCCAGAGCGATCCGGAGCGCTCTCAGAGCAATCCGGAACGCTCTGGAGCGGCCGCGGCGCCCAATACATCCTCCAAACCCGCCGATTCTCAGAGATTTCGAGTTATCCCGATCCGATTTTGTCCCGATCTTCGCGTCGTTTTACGGCGGGCCCCCGCCTCTCCGGATGCCGCCGCGGCGGCCGGACCAGCCCTGCTTCGAGTCGGCAGCGCAGAGGGTCCTCAGGCGCTGGCCGCAGATGGAGGCGCCGATTGCGATCGAGCGTGGTCGAAAGCACGGCGAACGAGAGGTTCAGCACTGGATGCAAGCGATGTTCGGTGGTGGCAACACATGGGAGCCTCCCATACCATCTCGTCGGCCCCTGCGAAGCGACGCTACATCGGCACTACATCGACGCTGATCGACGCCAAATCGACGCTCAGTCGACGCTGATCGACGCTGACCGAGGCTAAATCGGCGCTATCTCATCCACTCCCAGCCGCGAATCGACGCTAGTCGATGCGAATGGCAGAATGAAGAGGATGTGCCAGGCTCCCAGGGTTTGCTACCGAAAAAGGATGGGTGGTGCTGGACCAGCCCAGCCTCGCAGACACCAGGACTTGGGAACCCCCAAACCAGGTGGTGAGATACCAGGTGGCGACCTGGAATCCCCAAAAAGGTCACCGCTGGGTTTGGGGACACGGGGTCACCACTGGGTTTTGTGACTCCTGGACCCACCAATGTTCGGGACATTCGCGGAAAACCGCACGAGTCCCCAAACCGGGTGGTGACACCAAATCGCCCGAGACTCACCGCCAGGTATTGTCACCACCACGTTTGGGGACTACCAAAGGACCAGAGGGGCCATAACTTCACCGGGCTGCGCCTCCTCTGTCGCTTGGCGCGGCGCGGGCCCCGTCTGGGGCGGCCCTCGCGGGCTGCGTGGCGGAGCTGGGCGGCACCGCGTCGACGATCGGCGTCGTTCCAGCCTCGGGCCCACACGTGGCCGTCTTGAGCTGCTGGTTCACTCACCCGGCGTGTCCGCGGAGCCTGCACAAGCTGCGTCTGCCCCCCACTGGTTATCAAAGTCGTTGCCGATTCAAGGAAGCAGGAGGCTCTGACCGGGGCAGCTGCAGCGAGGCCGTCGCCCAGTGCACGCAGAAAAAATCCCCTCGCGAGCGACGATGGTCGTGGCGGTTGCGCGGGCGGTGGAGCCACGTGGTCTCGTACGCAACGCAGGCACACTCCACGCAGAGGCATGCTGAAACTAGGTCGGGCCTGTCCCCCCACAGGGGGATTTGGTACGAAAAATAAAAAATACGCAGAACATGTCCAAAGGATGCCCAAAAATACTAAAAAAATAGTCCCCATACTATTTTCTGACTATTTTGCAATATTTCCCCTGTAGAGGGACAGGCCCGACTTAATGCTGGAATGCGAATCAAATAATCCATGGAGAACGGCAGGCGCCGCCACGCGTGCCCGCTGGGCCGCGTCTGCAGAGAGGCCGCGGCCTTGGCTTCGGCGGCAAGCGAAGGGGGGCAGGGAGGTGGGAAGGAGAAGGCCTTCGCAGAATCAGAAGGCGGCGGGACCTCTCAGAAGCCTCGAGCCTTCCGAGGCGTCTTCTGCGCCTTCGGGGACCCGCCTAAGAGACTTCTCGGCAGGCCTGGGGACTCTCGAGCCTTCTGCAACGGCCCGCCCCTCCTCACTGTCCCCCCCTGGCTCGCCGCCGATGGCTGCCACCCCAAGGAACCCATCCGCCCCCCTCCATCGCGGGAGGCCACGGCAGACTCTCGTGGTGGCAGGCCCTGACCTTGGAATCGAAGCCGCTGGCGCGCCCACGCGGAGCTGCGGCGCCGAGACTGGGCCCACGCGGGTCAGGGCGCCAGCCCCGGCGCGGTCGTGCGACGCCTTCGGAGATTAGGCGGCAACTACTGGGAGGCCTTCATCGGAAGGATCAAGGAGAATTGAGCCCCGTTGGGGGGCTACTATGCCGGCGTGGGCCGCGAAGTCAGCGGGACGGAGTAGGACTAAGCGGGATGGAGCCAGATCAGGCGGGATTTGACAGGATTGGGCCGGATTTCGGACCAGGGCAAAGTCAAAATTTGGCCTCCCAGGTATTGCATCCGAATTCAGGGGCAGTGCCAGATCACGGCTCCACTTCCCGACGGTCGCCCCATAGCCATATTGTGTGAAAGCGCTTGTGTGAGAGCACTGCCCAGGAGCAACCGAGCAACATCACCTCTTACAGCAGGGCAGCGCCTTGAGCGACTGGCTACGGAAAGTGCGAGGAGGAAGAGGAGGAGGAGGAGCAGGAGGAGGAGGAGGAGCAGCAGCAGGAGGAATAGGAAGACGAGGAAGGATTGGGAGGGAGGGGGGCGGCAAGGAGAAGGATGAGGAGGGCGGAGCGGAGGACGGGGGGGGGGGGGGCGCAGTAGAGGCAGCGAGGCGCATGGTCGCGGGGATGGGACAAATGAGAGAGGACAGGGAGGGGTTCGGGGCAGGACCGGAGGTGTGACGGGCAGGGTGGGACAGATGCACAGGGAGAGGCGGAGCAAGGGATGAGGGGACGGGGGAGGGGGAGGGGGAGGAGGAGAGACGGAGGGCACTGCACGGGGAGGGGGGCGAAGGAGACGAGGGGGGGGGGGGAAAGGGAGGGAGGGCGGCAGGAGGCGGGGGGGGAGGAGGGCGAGGAGGGGAAGGGAGGCGGGGAGGCGAGGAGAGGCACCCCCTGACAAAGGCGGACGCCGGGGCGCGGCGCGCGCCCGAGGGGCCGGGTGGGGGGCGGGCGGGGGCGGGGGCGGG